TGAGCAAGGTACCACCTATACTGTACCTGTGAATTTCGTTTTTCTTGCCTAAATGTAGAACCTTACTCTTTTCACCATTGAATTTCATTTTGTTAGGCGTTTACTATTGTAATATTTTTCCTGCTTTTCTACTATTTGTTCTGGGTTTGTGCATTAAAATCATACACAGAAGTGCGAGACAAGACATTTGTGGCTTGCTCTGTATATTATATATACAGACAGTCTGTAAGCTTGGTCTGCTGTAGCAGAGAGGTCTGTTGACTTCCTCAGAAGTCACAGTCCCAAACTTTGGGACTTTGCCAGTTAACTTTGCACGACAAACATTTGGTCAACTCCTCAGGATCTGTCCAGTTAGCTCCCACTCCGAATGAATATGAGCGCCTTTCTCCAGTTTCCTAGAGAATTCCTTATGTTGGTCCTTTAACCTATTCAGCCTTATTGTTATGAAGTTTATAAGCCACCAGCTTCCCATGACTCTGGGGGTTCAGCTTTCACAGCCAGATGTTACTGCTATCAGTCTATATTTTAACATTTTAGCATTCCATGTTAAGTCAACAAAACATGGTTTTAAGAGTGTTTTGTGCACCTGACCAAGAAACCAATTGTTTGTGAGCCAATAAGCCAAAGCCATAACTTCATATAGAGTAATGTGATATGGGAAGCTAGTCTAATATCTTCATCTTTCTCACCTCTCATCTTTCATTCTCATATTAGTATTTTATGATTTACCAATTGTTACCTTATGATTTATGATTGTATATTATTCTATAGTCTCTTTTGATTCTTATACCATAAAACCTAGCCCAAAGCTGTTTTTTCAAGAGTGTTGGAAGAAATGCCCATCTGGGTTCAGTTCCAAGTGGGGAGAACGTGATGGAGTGGAATGTGAGATATATTTATACCCTCTCTTGGGCTGAAAGAAATGTTCTTTCAAAGTGGGGAAAAAGACACTGGAGACATGGAGGCTGCTTGGAAAGATGGTTTATTGGTGGACAGGACCACATGGCTTCAGTCCTGAACAGAAAAGGTGATCACATGCTTCAATGTTGGTGGAGAAGAAGAGAAGGGCGGAAGGAGGGGCTTGCTAGGTTTTTTATAACCTGTTCAGTCCCACCTGATGATGTAATGAAGAGGCTTGTGTTCTGAAAGGATGTTGGGTAATTCCTATTATGCCTTAATAGCTTTCTCCTGGTTTGGATCTTGAGTCAGGGCTAATCCTATCACCCTGGTGCTGAAGGCCTTTTCTTTTGTAGATAAGATGGTCCAGTCTTTCTGTGTCAAAGTGGGGGCTGCTTTCCAAGACATGCTTCTCCTATCATCCAGGGCAGTATAATATGCTGACTTTTTAATATTTCCTAGAATATTTCATTGTTCTAAGAGGGGTGGGTGCTAACTTTCTTCAAGAGGCAACCGGACTTACTGGTTTTTTTATTTGAAAAAGTTTCGCTTCTCATCCAAGAAGCTTCTTCAGATGCTGAAGAAGCTTCTTGGGTGAGAAGCGAAATGTCTTCAGGGAAAAAAAAACCTACAAAGCCCAGTTGCCTCTTGAAAAAGCACCTTTGGCACAACCATGACCTGGATGACTGAGGATCTCCACAGACACGATCCCTAAGCATAATTTGGGAATCATTTTGTACTTTAAGCTTGGTTGATCGCCTAATGAAGAATCCTGGGCGAGTCCAAAGCTTGCCTCCTTCTGCGACCCTTTCCGACGACCGTCGATTCGGAAGTAAAAGTTTCACTTCCCCCAGCCCTTCATCGCTTAGCAACCCAGCCGCACTTGTTCTTATCGGAGGAAGCTCCAGCTTTCAGTTTCGTTTCTCCGCGAAGAGAGAGTGAGAGTTAAAGAGCAGAGTCGGGTGTGACCCCAGAGGGGTGGGATCAGCGTTCTCGAGAGGCGGAAATTCCGAGGAATCGATCGGCCGGAGGGGGTGGCTGGTTGGGTGGGCTGTGGGTTCGTCGCAGGGAAGGGGCGAGAGACTCCCGGGCCAGGATGGACGCGGGCTTTGCACAGGAAATCTTCCGGAGGGTGTGCGCCGCGGGCGGCTCTCTGAAAGTCAGTGAGATCAAGGGGCGCCTGGATTCGGGGCGCCTGGACTCGATCCTGCAGGACAAGACGAAATTCACCCTGGTGACCCGGGAGGACCCCCCCTCGGCGGCCGGCAGCGAAGAGCACCGTGTTGTCGTGGCCACCACCGCGGCGCGGCTCTGCCGGGATCACGGCAAAGGGAAGTGCGCCGGGGACTGCCGGCAGCTCCACCTCTGCCGGTACTTCGTCTACGGGAGTTGCCGCCAACAGGCCGCGAGGTGAGCCCATCACCCCAGGTGGCAAAGGGGAGGGTCGCTTGCGAGCGAGCGGATGGCGACCCGGGAGGGGGCGGGGGGCGCAGAGGGGACCCGGAGCCGCGTCCTCGGCTGGAGAGGAAGAATTTCGCTTTGCGCGGATCCTGGGAATTGAGTTGCCGGATGCGGTCCGGATTATTGCGGGCGAAAAGAATCGGTCTTAGAACCGCCCAGCCTCGGGAGGTACAATGGGCCATTTTCCGTGGGGAACTCCGGTAGGGCGGAAGCCGAAGTTCCTTGCCGGGTAGTTCGCGATTCTCATTCCTGATTCATTCAGGGGATTTTGGAGACGGCCGCTTTTCCGTCTGAGAGGCTCGCTCCGTTTTCCCCACCTGGTTAGAAAAAAAGACTTTTTTTAAAAAAATTGGAAAGACGCCTCCAATTCTTAGGGTCCTGATCGGGATGCTGTGTTTATATCAGTGGTTTCCAACCCTTTTTTGGGCCATGCCCCATCTAAGGATCTCTAAAATCCTGATGCCTCCCCCCCACCATAAATCTTACTTTACTCAAAAAGTGAACTCTATTCACATGGAGGAAACGTAAAAAGCCACTGGTTTATCTGGAAGACCCTTGGAATTTTCCCTAGGGAGGCTGCGTGCCTTGGAAAGGATGTCAAATTCTAGTCTTTGGTCATGAGGGAAACTGGGGGCGATTCCCTGCCAGATATATATTTTCTTCAGTTGACTTTATACTTGCTATGAATGAAGCTGGGATAACACTTATGTGCCACCGAAGTGAGAGGTGTAAAATGGACTTTCCCAATCCAGCTTTTCCAAAGAAAATGTCTTATTGTCCCCATTTATCTGCATCCACTTCCTTTGTTCATATTTATGTTCACACTACCTTGTACATATTTGACAGACAAACAAACAAATAATTGTAAATAATTGTAAATAAACAATTAAAATGGCACCCAGTTCTAGGCAGTCCTGGGACCTTTCAGAAGGAAGCTACTTTTAGGTCCTGTTCTTACCTGTTTCTGGCCATCCTGTTTACTCTTTTCAAGACTTACTTGAACAGGAAGTGGAATGTCGTGCTGCTTTACCAGTTCAAAACAAGGTGTTTCTCTGCTTAAGTAAAAAGGGAATGAATAACAAACTGCTAACCACAAGGTCTGCCCGCAATTGACTCTCCCATCGTTCTCCGTTTACCTGTTTTATTCAGATCCTTCATTTCCCCCTCCCCCAAATTATATTGACATTGCAAAATTAGGATGTTTAAAAACATGGTGTATCTAAAGCATTTATTGGCCAGCATCTTGTTGGAAGAAGCTTTCTAAACTCGCAGTCCTCAGAAGCCTTGGTTTCCAAGTTGTTGTTTTTTTAAGCACCCTGGAATTCCAGGAAAAAATAAATCCATTTTCAGATGAGATCTGCTGATCATTGGCTTGGGTGATAGCTGTACAGATTGCTTAGCATGAAATGGAAATAGTTTGCCATTGCTTTCTTCCTGGATTATATTATTTTTGATTCCTAGATTTTACATTGCCATCCTTGGAATTCCCAGGAAGGCCTTTGTTTAAGGGTTGGCCCAGCTAAGCTTTCATAATCTGTGTAAATGCCACTTTCTGCTCTGCTCTTCCTATGAACAGTGTGTAGTTTAAAACTCAAATCTAGATACAATGACAAACCATGTTTCATATTTTCAAAACCTTTAGGAAACCATGCAAGTTTATCCATGACATTAAAACAGGCCACAACTTCTCTGTCCTAAAAGAACATGGTCTAGATGTCTTAAACTCTGATGAATTATGTCAACTGCTGCTTCAGAACGATGCTTCACTCTTGCCTGAGGTGAGATTATCACACACAATTTATGCTTGTTAGGCAATGAAATTCCCATTGCGCAAGATGTGGTCCACCGCACCATTCTAATTTGCTCAAGAAAATTCAATGTTGGGAGAATTTCATCGTTTACAGGTAGTCCTCAATTTAGGACCACAGTTGTGTCCAAAATTTCAGTTGCTTAAGTAGGACAGTTGTTAAATAAGTCTTGCCCCATTTAACAACCTTTCTTGCCAGAGTTATTAAGTGAATCTGGATTCCCTATTGACTTTGCCTGTTGGAAGGTTGCAAAAGATGATCACATCAGCCCCGGATAGCTTCAGCTGTCATAAATTTGAAATGGTTGCCAGATATCCGAATTTTGATCATGGGGTTGCCGCAACCAGTTGTAAATCTGAAAACCGACAAGTCACTTCTTTCAGGGCCATTGCAGGTTTGAATGGTCACAAAATGAATCGTTGTAAGTCAAGGGCTACCTCTATTAAGTGGCACTTTTAGTGACTATCAGTGGTGATGAATCAGTATTTCTTTTTGGAGAGCCAGTTTATTTATTTTATTTTATTTTATTTTAATATTTATTTTATTATTTTATTTTATTTTATTTATTATTTTATTTTATTTTATTTTATTTTATTTATTATTTTATTTTATTTTATTTTATTTATTATTTTATTTTATTTTATTTTATTTTATTTATTATTTTATTTTATTTTATTTTAT